TTGTGGCCGATTTTAGAACTCAAAATAATCACCTTTCAGGGGTTGAATTTTAAGCAAATCTGCGTTTCATTTAATGGAAGCATGAATAAAATCCTGGTATTGAATAATTGCGAAAGACGTACTAAATCAAAACATTTTCATATTCTTTTAAGTGCGAACACGTCAAAGGCAAATTCTACAGTGAGTACTCGGATAGTCTTGATTAAATACAAGAAAGACTTCTTATACGGCCTGTTAAAAAACTATATTTTTAAAATTTAATGCTCACAGAAAACTTTGCAGTGCTTTGTGTTCTGACGAGGTGATGAACGAATCGAAGCTAGCGACTTCAGCAGCACTGGTACGAGTGGAGCCATTGAGGCGACGCGTTCGTGACTCACGGCGCTCCGCCTCGAGGTGAACTCGCTCTAGGGAGCAAGTTAACCTCTCCACGCCTCCCTGTAGAGCGCGTTTTTTCTGAGCGGTTTCAGTCCGTGATTCTCGCTGCTCCTCCAAATCCTGTTGAAAAATTCAGTAAAAATACAGGGCTAGTCTGCGTTTCTTCAAAAGACTCGACATTCTTATTTGTGAGAGGAAGTTCAAAGCATCATGACATATTTTAGAATGAATTACGTCATATCATTTATAAGAAGGGAAGTAAATTTGATAAAGATCGCAGATGGTGACAATCAGTAGTGCTTAAGAATTTCACCCGGTGCCGATTATGGCGAGACCATATAACAAAATTTCCTTGTTCCTTATGTAGAGAACAATCATTTAAAACCTCCGTTTTAATAGGTAGCTTATTGCCCTATTCTAATGGATCAAAAAAACTAAATTCCCTATGCAAGTTGAAACCTTCCTGCTGTAACTCAGTCAAACCACGACAACGGTTACTGACCTTCTTCGATTGCTTCATCGTACGTTGTACAATTGACCGGTCTCAATAGGTAAACCGAAGTATTTTTGCTCACGGCCTCCCGCTAGACCTTAAAGTGTGCAGATATGCCAACCAGTTTCGGAGCCTCAGTTACCAGGACCTCATAATCCCAAATGAGGAACCTTACCTACATAACGAAACAACATATTATTGGGACCATAGAAATGGAAAAATTTAAATCACGCTCACGCATCCCAGTAAGCATTCAGCATTCAATTT